TAGTAGTAGTAGTAGTAGTAGTAGTAGTAGTAGTAGTAGTAGTACTACATATTTTAAATGAGCTTTTTGAATTTTTCGATGCTCATTTGGTAACTTATGTGTGCTCATTTGAAATTGGTGTAATACTCATTTTAAAATGGAATATTCATGTATCTTTCAAACATATTATATTACATTAGATTCACATTACAAATGAGTTTTATGTTAAACTCAAATGAGTAAAACGCCCAAAACGAATGCGCACACACAAATGAGCTTTTAATTTTTTTGATACTTATTTTGAAAGTTATGTGTACTCATTTGATATTGCTTTATGCTCATTTTAAAAGGTTGCACATTTCAAACACATCATACTATAATGAAATTAATTGAAATTGATTATAGACATAACTTCACTTTTTAATAAACAAAAAAATAATAAACAGAAGATGATATATATGGTATGAAGCAGAGATCGTTGATGCTCACCGTTAGCTCCTAATACTCAAAAGAACATGCTTGATGCTAATCAAAATTGCATATATGCTCATTTAAGAGAATCCACGATTTTCACAAAAATTACAAATTTGCCACCGACTATACAGTGATCACTGTACAGCCAGCTGGAGATGGAGAGAGTATGGGCCTATTTACTAACAGAGATACTTTCCTGTTTTCTACTTCTGTTTTTCATTCTCCAATTTTCTGTTTTTATTTTTCAGTTTTTCTATCTCTAGTTTTTTGTTTCTATTTTCTAGTTTTCCATTTTCAAATCTGAAAACATGTTCATCAATTTTTTCACCCAGTTCTGTGATCATCCAGAAGACTGACTCGTTTACTTCACGGGTTACTAAATGGTGCTTATTATGACTCGTGTTAATAAGCGATGCATAAAATAAGCAATTTTATAAGACCATGTTTACTTCAAAAGGTTTAAAACACCGTTTAACATTAAAATGTCCAAAATAACCCTATACATATATAAACACACACACACACTAATGAACACAAATATATAATATAATATGTGGGGTCGATCACCTCGTACGTGTACCCATACTCCTAACCCCTACAGTGCCCCTATACCCCGTACCCCCACCTTACACCCTACACCCAATTCCACCCCATTTACCCTTACCCCTACCCTTACCACGATCTTACACTCTACTCATACTCCCCTAAAACCCTTCATACTCACCCATACCTACTCGTAGGGGTCAGGGTAGGGAAGGAAGGTATGGGTGGGGTGGAGGTGGGTGGGGTGGTTAGGTCTAAGGGTACGGAGTTGGGTGGGGGTAGTGAGTAGGGTTGGGGTTGGGGTAAGGTAGGGGTAGAGTAGGGAGTTGGGATAGGATGGCGGTAGGGTGGGGTCGGGATCAGGGTGGGGGCGAGGTAGGGGAAGGGGTAGGGTGGTGGGTAGGATGGCAGTAGGGTGGGGGTAGGATGGCGGTAGGGTGGGGCCGAGGTAGGGGTCATGTGGAAAGGGGTAAGGTAGGGGTAAGGGGTAATATACGAGGTGGTGGTATGGTAGGGTGTGTCAGGGTGGGGTTGAGGTGGTAAGGGGTGGCGGTAAGGTAGGGTGGATCGGGGTGGGACCGAGGTAGGGGCATGTGGTAGGGGGTGGGGGTGGGGTCATTGTAGGGAAAAGGGATATGCAGGGTGGGGGTTTTGTGGCTCTAATTCACTCTTACTTTTTTCTCATTTTATTAATTCACCATCAATCGCATCTCCACTTTTCTTAAAAACTGTATCACTCCCTTTTGTCCCAATCTTAGGGTGACGGAGCCACGGAGGTATTACTAATTAATTATCAACCACATAATAAAAGTATAACTAGATGATGAAGTATTGATCGAAACAGTGAAAAATATATTACTAAAATAAAATAATGGGTACAACAACAACAACATCCAACCCTTAATCCCAAAAGAATTTGGGGTCGGTTAACAATGATATCGATGTCAAACAGAGAAGACAGACAAGAAATGGATGAAAAAAAAGTAAGATAAAATGAATAAAATAAAAATAAATAAATATAAGATAACAATAATACAAGAATATAAGAAAGACAAAAGATAAAAAAAAATAAAAAACTGGAATTTAATAATAACATAAGAATATACAAAGACGAAGAAGATAAACGATAAAAGAAAAAAGAGAGGAAAGGTAGAAAAGACATCAATCGTCCACACGGGTGTACGCCCTCCACTTTGCTCTCTCCAAAGTCATACTCTCATCCAACCCCAAAAGACGCATATCAGATTTGATTCCTCTAATCCAAGTCTCATCCAACCACTTTGCTCTTCTCTGCCTGTTCTCCCCACCCCCCAAGTCGTCTAACACGTGCATCACTCGGTCTTCTACGCACATGCCCAAACCACTGCAAACGAGACTCCTGCATCTTATCTTCTATAGGTGCCACTCCCACCTTTTGTCTGATTATGTCATTCGTCAAACGGTCTTTTTTGGTATGTCCACACATCCAACGCAACATACACATCTCTGTCACACTCACCTTTTGAATGTGACATTGCTTCACCGCCTAACATTCTACGCCATACATTAAATAAAGCCTAATTGTTGTTCGATAAAATTTATCTTTCAGTCTAGTCGGCATACCTCGATCGCATAGAAATCCTGAAGCACTCTTCCATTTCATCCACCCAGCTCTGATTCTATGACATACATCTCCATCTAATTCACCATCCTTCTGGATTATGGAACTCAAGTAACAGAACATATCACACACTGATATCTCCTTACCATCAAGAGTAATCCAATTGTTGCTACTACTTCTACCTCCACCAAACTTGCACTTCATAAACCCTTGGTCTCCAATGTTTGTCATCATACTTCCAATTTTGCTTTAACACCGGATTGTGTCTCATCAATCAATACAATATTGTCGGTAAACATCATGCACCACGGTATATCTTCATGGATTGACTTCATAAGTTCATCCATGACTATGGAAAATAAGAAAGGACTCAGAGCAGATCCTTGGTACACTCCGATAGTAATAGGGGACTCGGCGGTCCTCCCTACACTAGTGCAGACACTTGTAGTACAAGCATCATACATATCCATGATGATACTGATATACTTACGTGATATGCCTTTTTTAGTTAAGGCCCACCACAAGACTTCTCGAGGTACCCTATCAAATGCAAATCCTTTTTAGTGTCTCTATACTTCTCCATAACTTTTCTAAGAAGGTGAATGGCCTCAGCTGTTGAGCGTCCAGGCATAAAACCACATTGATTCTCCGAAATTTTCACACTTTTACGAAGTCTTTGCTCAACCATTCGCTCCCAAATTTGCATGGTGTGACTCAAAAGCTTAATCCCTCGATGGTTGACACATTCTTGTACATAACCCTTAAAATAAGGCAATGAGAGTACTCTTCCGCCAACTCAATGACATTTTGTTGTTTCTCCAATTCATGTTGAAGAAATGTGTTAGCCACTCGATGCCTTTCTCTCACAAACTTCTCCAAGCCTCGATCAGTTTACCATCTAGGCCCACTGCTATCTTCCGCCCCATTTTTCTCATAGCCTCTTTAACTTCTGTTGTTTGAATCCTTCTCACGAAGTCTCGATTTACCATACACTCTAGTATAGTAAGATCATCAATACCTTGCACTTTATTCCCATTGGACAAGTTATCAAAGTATGACCTCCACCTCTCTTTAATTTCTTTGTCCTCCATTAGTACCCTTTGATCGACATCCTTCACACACTTAACTTTTCCGATATCTTGAGTCCTACGATCACGAAGGCGAGTAAGTATGTATATATCTTTTTCTCCTTCTTTAGAGTCCAACTTTACATATAATTCCTTGTTCAATTTTCCTCTGGCTTCCTTCACAGCTTTCTTTGCTCTTCTACGAGTCTTCTTGTACTCCTCTATGTTCTCGTCGCTCCAACTTTTGTCCAATTTCTTATAGCATTCGTTTTTGGTCCTTATTGCTTGTTTCACCTCATCATTCCACTAAGACATGTCTTTTTTTGGTAGCAGACATCCTTTAGATTCTCCGAGTATCTCCTTCGCCACTTTGTTAATGGTGGACTTCATTGATAACCACACATCATCCACATGTTATCAATAAACCATACATCTTCCTCCAACATTTTCTGTGCAAAACTTTGTTGGAGATTCCCCTTGAGCCTCCACCATTTTATCTATGGCTCCCCTTGTACCTTAACTCGTCTCCTCTTTTTACCTTGAAAATCAAGCACAAGCATCCTATGCTGAGTGACAGCACTCTCACCTGGGATAACCTTACAATCAGTGTAGCTAGTTCTCCAAGTCGTTCGTACTAAAAAGTAGTCAGTTAGGGTACTATTAGCTCCACTTCTATAGGTGACAAGGTGAGAGTCTCTTTTTTTTGAACTAGGTGTTCATCACAGACAACTCATATGTCGAGACGAAATCCAAAATGTTCTTCCCCGCTTCATTTCTAGTGCCAAAGGCATGTCCGTCATGGATACTCTCAAAACCATCCCGACTTAGGCCCACATGCCCGTTGAGGTCGCCTCCTATTACCGATTTCTGAAAAATAAAATAATGGGTAGAAATATAAATTTTAATGTGCGACAACAAAATTAATATTTCAAAGTGACTATATGGTATCATGTTAGGGGGTGTTTGAATCTGTTTCTTAAAACTATTTCTGCTCCTTCAAAAGCAGAAGCAGATAATGGAGTGTTCGGGTGAAAATGCAAAAGTACTTCTAAATGCTCCAAATTTTTCATAAAAGCAGTTTTTTAGAAATTGGGGGAGATCGGTTTCTGAAAAATTGATTCTGATTATGTTTCTGCTTTTCAAAAAGAAGCAGAAACTCAATTAGTTCCAAACACCTCCTTAATGTTCAATTCAGGAAAAAATCTATTAATATTATATATCGATATTATTATGAGATAGTAATAAGTGAATATAGGACATAATAAAATCTCTTGTTGTTACTATATACTACTCCGTATTATTATCATATGATTATTGCCTTTATTGGTGGTTTAATTTAGGTATCCCAACAAGCAAGCTGCATTCAGAACTCTTTTACTACCTATGCAAAGCTCACTCTCCGCTCAAACTTGATATGGGTTTCGTGAACGACTGCTATGAGGGCAGTCACCTGCTGGCACATATGTATCATCGGGTCATAAACAACCGGGGTGGACCAGTGACGCGGTTAATGTCTGCAGGGGGCAAAAGCACAGAGGACGGAATAGAGGCATTAAAAGATTTAAGTGAATTACTTGGAGTAGGAGCATCCAAATGGATTAATCCAATGCTATTAGCTTTGGAGGCATTACAAGTTTTGGAGATTAGCAGCAAGTTAGCTGATGAGATTACTAAGATTAAACTATCAAAACCACCAAAGAAGAGTCATCAAATTCCTTCAGCATCGGATCTGTCCAAGAAACACAATGTGGGTTTCAGGCTGCTGGAATGTGAAGGGATTAGGGATATCAAATTTGACCTCCAGGACGACATAAGAACGGTTTCTCTGCCTCAGATCACTTTAAAATGCGATTCAGAGGTGGTTTTAAGAAACCTGCTGGCATATGAATCTGCCATTGCAATCCCAGAGTCAGCCTTTGAGCTTGCTGGATATATTCACCTGATGAGCAACATACTGCAGACACCTGATGACGTGGCGTTGCTACGGGGGAAGGATATCATCAAGGGAGACCTAACAGACGGAGAAGTTCTTGAAATCTTCAACGGGGTCGGAAAAACTGTGGGGAACTCGAAGCCGAAGAAGGAGTGTGCAAGCAGGGAGGTGGTGAAACAAGTGAAGCAGATGGTGGAGGAATGGGAGAAGAAGAGGAAGAGGTATGTGTTGAAAAGGGTGTGGAAGTGTATGGAGAAGAAGGTCAACAATGGTGTGGAGTTGATGAGTAAGCCTGTAAGAATTGGTGTCAAGAGTCTGCTGTATCTTATCATGATTGTGCTACTTGTGCTGGAGATGATGCAAGCATATCGCCAGATTTATGAACCCAAGAAAGGCCGGGGTTCTTAGCCTATGAGTTCCAAGATTATTTTTGGTGTCAGACAACAAACGTTAACGTTTTGTTTGAACAGACAAAAAAAACCTACACATATATGTATAAAAGTGTGTACACCAAAATGGTGTGTACAAAAAGTATTTTTGATGAGTTCCACTATGTCACGGGAGCGTTAGATGCTTAGATATACTACGTATATATTTATTCACTTCCTAAATAAGTGTAACATGTTGAATTTTACATTATTCACATGTTCTATTTTGACTTTGTTTTATGTATTAATGTATTAATAAATTATTCTATAAAAAATATTGTTAAATTTGTGTCATTGTAAATTTTCAAAATCTGACTTTTTTTAATTTTTTCCAAATAAAGAATAATATATATTAATGATCAAAATTGTGTATCAGCAAACATGAGAAGTGGACTTAGAAGTAAACATTATTGAGACATACCCCCAATAACAATTCTAGTCTAGTAGAGAAGACATAAATTAAAATATAACAATGATAAAAACACAAATAATATTATTAATACATAATAACAAATAATATTAATACGTAACAAGATATTATGGCATTTTATGTGGTTATTAGTGCATTATAAGAAGTAATAATTTTTGTGTGTCGGTAATAATTTGATTTAGGCAAAACTCACATCAATAATATCACATATTAGGCATAAACCACATTGTGTGGTAGAGAGAAATGATATCAACCGCATTTTTTGTCAAAAAGGGAAAATAACCACTATTTAGGGATGGGCAAAAAAGAAAAGTTGAAAGATTAAAATGGAAAGTTGGAGTAACATTTTCCCCATGACAGAAGACCCTCCCTCTCCATCACTCTATGCTATCTCAAAACCATTGCTTGGATTTATTTGTTAATTCGAAAGAAGAAGAAGGCAGAGAAAATCATGAACAAGGAGCCACGGTTTTCCCTCTGAAGGTTCAAATTAGGATGTTTTGTAGTTGGACTGTTTTTAGTCCTAGACCAGACCAGATCAGATCAAACCAGACAATATCAGATCAGATCAGGCCATACCAGACTTGGACAGTTATAAAATACACATAGACCAAACATTACCAGATCAGACCAGACCACTTTAAATCGGACCAGACTGGATCAGATCAGGTCACAAAATTCTCATCCAAGTAAAACCATCCTTAGAGGATGAGAAGCTTCCATTAAGAATTCCTAAATTCGAAAGAAGAAAGAAGAAAGTAAGATGTATCAAGGAAGACACATGACTATCTACGTAGAATAATCATTAAAGGTGTTCATGAATTGAACACGGCGGCTTTGCTAGCCATTCTTCTTTTATCCCAAATGGATTTTCTTGACCCATCCGACCATGTTTCATAAGGCCAAGCAACCATCACGAACGGTTCAATAGAATTGAATATTTGTCCAATAGCATTCACAGAAGGTCCAATAAAATATAGAATAGCCTGGTAGCATTTTTAAGGGGCTCAATGACAATCAGATCCAATAATTTTTAAATATCCACAATTAGCTTTCACTTCATTACAAGTTTTGGAGCAATGCATGTTAGCTGATAAGATTACTAAGATTAAACTATCAAAAAATACAATGTGGATTTCATCAGGCTACCAAACGGCGATGAGGCCAACTGCGGACCAAACTACCTCCAAGATTGCATAGCAATTAAAGGGTGGCCCCGCTCTGGTGGAAGATGACGCCAAAACAGAAGAAGTCGCCATCGACCCGGAACATCCAGAAAGGGTCATCCGCATCGGGAAAGACATGCCAAAGCACCTCAAAGACGAACTGATAAACTTCCTCAAAGAACATAAGGACGTGTTTGCATGGAGTCACGACGACATGACATGTATTGATCCTAATATCATAACTCACAGGTTAAACGTCAGCCCGTTACACAAACCCGTCAGACAGAAAAGAAGACGCTTTGCAAAAGAGAGGAACGCCATTATAAACCAGGAAGTTGATACGCTGCTTCGAACCGGTAAGGTAAAGGACGTAAAATATCCCGATTGGTTAGCTAATGTTGTTGTTGTTCAGAAAAAGAAAGGACAGGAGGAAGGCAAGCCAGTCAAATGGAGAGTCTGTGTGGACTTCACTGACCTAAACAAAGCATGTCCCAAAGACTCATTTCCGATGCCACACATTGACGCATTAGCGGACGCTACGGCAGGGCACGAAATGATATCCTTCATGGACGCATTCAGTGGTTATCATCAAATACAGCTTCACCCCGATGACCAAGAAAGCACGGCCTTCATCACTGAAACAGGTACGTATTGTTATGTTGTTATGCCTTTTGGACTAAAAAATGTAGGTGCGACGTTTCAGAGACTAGTCACCTTAATGTTCAAAGATCTGATGGGGGACACCATGGAAGTCTACATTGACGACATGATCGTCAAATCAAAGAAAAAAAGAGGATCATATCCATCACCTGACGGAACCCTTCAGAAGACTGAAGAAGTACAACCTGAAGATCAATCCAGCGATATGTACTTTTGGAGTGACGTCAGGGGAATTTTTAGGATATATCGTCAGTGAACGAGGAATAGAGGCAAGCCCGGAACAAATACGAGCAATTATTGACATTGAATCTCCAAAATCCATCAAAGATGTCCAGAGGTTGACAGGACGAGTCGCGGCTTTGAATCGTTTCATTTCGAAATCGTCAGACAGGTGCCATTTGTTTTATGACGTCTTGAGAAAGAACAAAAAATTCGAATGGACAGATCGGCACGAACAGGCGCTTCAGCAATTAAAAGAATATATGATGTCGCCACCATTGCTCGCAATACCCAAAAATGACGACGAACTGCAACTTTATCTAGCCGTTTCAGAGCACGCCGTCAGTGCAGTACTGACAAAAGAGGAGCAGGGGCAGCAAACTCCAGTCTATTACGTAAGTAAATCCCTAAATGGCCCGGAATCCAGGTACGCTTTACTTGAAAAATTAGTTTTAGCTTTGATCGTTGCTTCGATTAAATTACGCCCTTATTTTGAATCACATACCATTTGTGTTAGAACTAATTATCCCATGAAGTCAATCATGAGGAAACCAGAATTGACAGGTCGCATGGCCAAATGGTCGATTCAACTTGGAGCTTATGACATAAGATTTGAACCAAGAACAACCTTGAAATCACAGTCACTTGCAGATTTTGTGGCGGACTTTAGTCCAAAGCTCCAAGATGAGGCAGAGAAAGAGACTTGCACTCTGATCGACGGATTGCCAAAGCAAAAATGGACATTGCACACTGACGGAGCATCAAACCAGAACGGCGCAGGTCTGGGCGTGGTACTGAAGTCACCACAAGGGGACACCATGCTCCAAGCAGTACATTGCGATTTCACCGCTACGAACAACGAGGCAGAGTACGAGGCGCTAATCGTCGAACTCACATTGGCAAGGGACTTGGGCATCAAAATCTTGGAGGTAAAATGTGATTCTTTACTGATAATTAATCAAACTAATGGTGTGTATGCAGCAAAGGACCCCAAGATGACATCTTATTTGCAAATTGTCCGAGAATTGATAACGGCATTTGACGAGATAACCCTTGAACAAGTCCCACGTGAAGAAAACACACAAGCCGACACTCTGGCCGCTGTCGGATCATGTCTGGGGGCAGAAATCAATCGCAACATCCCTTATGTGCACTTGATGAGCCCATCAATTTATAGATCAGAGGTTGTCTCTACCATTGAAACCCCATCACAAGACGACTGGACACAACAATACATAGCGTACTTAAAGCACAATACTCTCCTAGAAGACAAGAAAGAGGCCAAGGCTTTCCTATCCAAGGTAAGTAAATTTCTACTAATTGATGGTGTACTATTTAAAAGATTTGTCGCAGGTCCATATCAAAGATGTCTGACACCGCAAGAAGCCGCCAAAGTATTGAAAAACCTTCATGAAGGGGAGTGTGGCAATCACGCAGCCGGGCGAAGTCTGTCTAACAAAGCTCTTAGATTCGGATATTACTGGCCAACCATGAGAGAAGACGCAACCACTTTCACCCAAAGATGCAAGCCTTGTCAGATGCACGGACCAATTCGTCATCAGCCTTCCGAGTCGCTTCATCCAGTCCTATCACCATGGCCCTTCATGAAATGGGGCATGGATATCGTAGGAAAATTGCCAGAAGCGCCGGGGCAGAAAGTATATATGCTGGCAATGACGGATTATTTTTCAAAGTGGGTGGAGGCTGAGCCTTTTCGTCAGATACGAGATGACTAGGTAATTTCGTTTATCAAGAGAAACATCCTTTGCAGATTCGACGTTCCTTCAGAGATCGTCTGTGACAACGGATCTCAGTTCATAAGCGCTAAGACCAGACGTTTTTGTGAGAAGTACAATATCAAATTGGAAACGTCGACACCTAGGTACCCGCAATCTAATGGGCAGGCCGAGTCTAGCAACAAAATTATCATTGCCAACTTAAAGAAGAGGCTTGAAAAGGCGCAAGGCAGGTGGGCTGACGAATTGCCCTTGATACTATGGGCAGACAGGACAACTCCGAAAAATGCAACCGGACAAACCCCATTCTCTCTGGTGTATGGCTGCGAAGCGGTCATTCCTGCTGAAATTGAAGTACCTTCTTCAAGATATGGACTCATGACTTGGGAGTTGAACAATGTGGAGTTGACACACGACTTGGATACCATTGACGAGATCCGTGAACGAGCCAAGATTCGCTTGCAGACATATCAACAGATGGTTGCAAAAAGCTATAATAAGAATGTCCGGACGAAGGTGTTCAAGAGGGGAGATTGGGTCTTGAGGAGAGCATTTGGCAATGAAGCAGCCGGAAAATTTAGTCCTAATTGGGAAGGACCTTACAAAATCATTGACGTCGTTGGTCAGGGGGCATACCGCCTGGAATCAATCGATGGTAAACGAGTCCCTCGAAGTTGGAATGCGGTACATTTAAAACGTTTTCATTTTTAACAAAAGTTTCTTTTCTTTTCTGCATTTCTATCCCTATTACTAAATGAAATAACTAACTTGGCCGTCGGAGGGCCGTTGGCTTAAGGCCAACGACCAACCCGGACAATAATTGTAAATACAGGAAGGCACACGAAAATGGCAAGGTCACAGGTAATTAGTTACGGTTCGCGTAATCTTGAATATAGTAAATACAATTCGTCGTTTACTAACTTGACCGTCGGAGGGCCGTTGGCCCCAAGCCAACGGCCGACCCCAACGGTACGGTATCATCGCAGGACTATGACAGGTTAAGATCTAAATACCAGGTGACGCAAATACGAGAACAACAGATAGAACATTCAGATCTGCTCATGACAAAACATCAACATACAGGGGACATGGGACTCATTATGAAAAAACCATAAATGAAGTTCCATGAAACCGAATACGTTTTGGCCAAAACACACACGCATTTATGACACAGCGCATACACATGACATGTTGCACACATAAACAGCAGACATGCATACACAACAGAATGCACATAAGCAAAAGTATGATCCAAGCATTAGCAAAAACAGTGACAAATTCACATAATGGTGTGGACAGCGCTAGGCTAAACCGCCAAGCATGAAGCCCATGAGTAGCGCGATAAGGCGTTAAGTCCCGGATAAACCACCGGGAACCCTTAACGCAAGTCGAAAAGTGTCAGAATAATTCAAAAGCAGGGAATGTTTGGAATCCAGCAGACTTAGAAAAAAGGGAAGCATGATCATCTGACCGGTAAACATTAAGAATCAGTCTCATCGTCAGAATGACCCACCTCGAAGTCGTCTTCCCCTACAGGAGGATCCATCTCTTCCCTCAGTATATGCCATGTAGCCACATCCCGTTCCGCTGATCAGTGTGTCATTTCTCCTTTAATAAAAGATGTCATCAACTCACCCCTGGTCTTCCAGACATAATAGCAAGCGGCGTCAATTACTTCTTGCTTCTTTTTTCGACCATAAGCCTCCAAGGATTTGACTCTGGCGTTGAGCTGCAGAATCTGGGCAGATTGAGTAGAACTTTTGTCTTCCAACTCTTGAACTAACTTTGTACTCTTATCAAGTGTAGATGCTAGGGAGATCTCCTTCTGTTTCAGCTCATCAACGGTTCTCTCTAGTAAAGAGACACGAGCAGCAGCGACAAGGCTCGCCTGAATACTCTGAAGAAGACCAGACAAGTTATTCAAGGGTAAAGGGAAGAAAGCTCACTAAGCATGGTGATTCATCAGCACCTTAAACGCATAAGCGGAAGATGCAGCAATAACACCGGTATGGAGCAAGCAGTCAAAAAAGGGAGCAGAGGAGGCCAATTGAAATTGAGCCATTTCGTCTTTCATGATTAGAGCGTCCTTCAAATCACAGAATTCCGGGGAAAGTGATAAGTGCATAACTTGTGGTGGTTTCGCCCAGGTATCAACCCCATGTTCCGCATTGGGAGCATTAGGAGTTGTGGCAGCATCAGGCGTCGGGTACTTGGGGACCTTTGGAGGATTTGCTGACAATTTAGAGGGCATCCTTTTCCTCCTCGATGCCATAGCCAACAGCTCATGGTCAGAAGGAACGGAACGGGAAGTGCTTGATGAAGTAGCTAAACAAATAAAGAGGAATAGAAGTCAGGAGTACTCGATCCAGCACTAATAAAGAAAAGCATAGACCTCAGATAGTACCTGCAATAGGAGTAGAATCCTTGAGTGGGGGCACGGGAGTATTCTTAGCAATCGGAAAAACAACTTGTAAAGGGACGAAAGCGCTCATGCCCTCGCCATCATCTTTGGAGACTTCTGATCCTTGCCCTGAATCTTCTACGAAAACGACATGTGAATTCTGATTCAAATTGTGTGCGGTAGGAGTGTGCCTACGAGATCGCCTTAACCCCACATAATCAGACTCAACAGGAAGAGGCAACGTACCTTGGAAGTCTGACACCAGGTTCACATAAGTTCGATCCTCAATAGGGAACGAAAGAATCCTGGCATTTCTCTCTTCAGAATGCAGACCGGGAACCAGTGGAATAGTCTTCCTCTCTGCACGACAAAGAGAAACAATGCCAAATACATCAAGTTTTATACATATATCCAGGCACGCAGAAAACCTTCTGAAGTTACCCATCTCCATTACTTACACCCGAGGTTTCAAATCAGATAACAAAAATAGGAAACGGAATTCAACCGAGCAAATCAAGAAACGCGATTCGAAAGAGAAGCTAACCTTTGTGTAAATTCTCTTCCAGAAATGATCCGTCAGCACCTAACGACTCTTTATTTACAAAAAAGTACAAGTTCATCCACCCCCGGTCATTAGCTTTGTCCACCTTGTGAATGAGGGCCTCTTTTCCTTCCTTCACTGCTAAGGTAAAACGATCGGCTCCTGAAGATCTGAGGTCGTAGGTGAATCCCAAGTCTTCGAAATCTAGGGCCAAACTATGTTTCTCACTCAAGACCTCCAAAGCTCTTAGTACCCTCCATACTTGGGGCATGATTTGGGAAGGCGATACTCTGACGAAAGCAAGAAAGTCTCGGACTAAACGCGAGAATGGGAATTTCATACCTATCTTGAAAGGGTACATCAAGAAGTTTACCCAACCATCACAGAACCAATCTATCCTCTCGTTCGCTGCTTGAAAACGAATAACCGCGTCGTGGGGAAAGCCGATAGATGACCTGATAAATTCGACATGATATTCTGAAAGTTTCGCTTGCTTTGAGTTCTTTGGATCTAAGATGTGTTGCGGAATGAAGGATTGTGAAGCCATGAAGAACCAAGGCGCTGGCTGAGATTTGCAAGAAATTGAAAGGAGAGGAAAAGAAGTTTTTCTTGCTGAGTTAGTTCACTAAGGGAAGAAGAGACTCGCGATTGATTGATACCAAACGACTGACGGCTTTACACATTCCAAGGTGATGTCATGATGATAAAAATTCAAAGAATCGGTTGGCCCTTTAATTTTTCGAAATTGGCGCCTTCCTCTTCTTTGAATTGGGGGCAATTGTTGGGCCGAGAATAAAATGGATCCATGATCGTTTTAAGCCTGGATCGGAACTTGAGGAGGGGATAAATACAACAAGATCAGGCCTAAAATGTAGGTGAACATAGTTGGATAATTCATAACTATCACATTGTAGTCCGGAAGGGGGTTGGGAGTGGGCAAGAAAAAAGGAGAGTGTGAGTATAAATGTTGGAGGAGAGATCATTTATTGTATGACATGAAAAACTATCACATAAAGCAAATACATCTCTTATTGATAATCTTACCATATTTTCATTGTGATTCTTGTACGACGTCCTATACATTTTAATTGTTTGAATTAGTCTAAATCTTGCTTAAACACACTCCTACTGGAAATTTCCAGTCACCGGAGACGAGTTCAATTCCAGGACAAGTGTGAACAACTTGCTTATCATATTTCTTACGCGTGATTTGGAACATGCTACTCTATAATTCTATAAAAACATGCTCTGTATACTACACTGCAGTGATATAAACATAAACCATCCTCTGTCCGAGATATAAAAGAAAAGAGGGGCGACAGAGATTCAATTCATGGCAGCCAATTCAGGGCTCGGTCCGTCCATTGATGAAGAAAGGTGGGTGAGCCTGAGTAACAGAGCCTTACAGTCAGAACTCATCTTAGAAATCGATGGCTTTTCTCCAACAATCTTTCAAGTCCCCAAGTCCGTCAGCGAAACCAAGCCAGAAGCCTACACCCCTCTGCTACTCGGCATGGGACCGTACCATCATCTCCGGCCCGACCTCCACGCCGCAAACCTCCAGAAGCTCGTCGCCCTCAACAAATTTCTTGGAAAAAACCCATCCAATAACCTCTCCAAACACATCCTCAAAAAGATGAGGGATTTGGAGCTGCTGGTTCGGGCCAGCTACGACCAGTACGTGGATCTGGATTGCTCCACCCTAGACTACATCCTCGCCGTTGATTCTTTCTACCTGCTCGTTTTTTTGGGTATGTACGGGAAGAAAACTCCCACTCTCGGACCCGGTTGCCAAGAGCTTGCCAAGGACATCTTGAAGTTTGAGAATCAAATCCCGGCACGTGCCGTAGAAGAGATGGGGAATCAGCTAGGTTTGTTCCCTCACCTTGCATCTCCATAGTTTCTCATTTTTTGTTTTCCTTACGTCGCGGTCAATGTCTCTCATGCTAGCTCAGTATCATTTGTATCCAATTGAATTGCAAATTTTGATCGGAAAGGATTAAGAAATGACAAATGATCTTGCTTTTTACACTTTTATCCATCTTTCTAAAAGTAAATAATTTTAAATTAATGGGGAAAAAGAAAAAATAAGGGTAAATTTGTCACTTTATTATTATTTACATACCTAAAATAGAAAGTGGAAAACTATTTTGAGACAAACACAAAAAATCCCAAATCAAATTGGGACGGAGGGAGTATCATATTTGATATTTTTTCCGTCCTATTAGAAAATTTTCATGTTTAAATGGCACAATGTTGTAGATAAGTGTTTAAATGAAGCAATTTGTGCAAAAAAAATTGGGACAATGTGGTAGGTAAGTGATTAAATAAAGCAATTTGTGTAAAGAGAAAATCTAAAATGAGTAAACATATAAAGTGAAATTAATTAAAAATATTAGAAATATGTCTAAATAGGACTAAAACTATGGCAAAAACTCAAAATAGGACCATATTAGTCGTATTAGAAACATACCTATTTTTCATTTTATTCTTACACTTCCTTTAAATATGAGTTAAAAATAGTCAAAAGCTATACTTAAATGTTTAATTCATAATAAATTTGAAAACAATTCAAAAATTCGTACAAAAATAATTAAAAAATTTATAAAATATTTATAAAATTAAATTTCCAAAAAATTATTATATTTTTTTTGAAAAAATTAATAAAAAATAGTAAAACTCAATAAAAAAATTAAAAAAATATAGATGCCTTTCCCACCGCCTGTACTACCTCCCTGCACCACCACCTTCGGCCAGTGAAAAAAATGCCATTTTCTCTAAAAACAGTCATTTTTCCTGAAAATGCCAAAAAATGACATATTTCTCTTTGAAAATGCCAACATTTTCATTGTTTTCTACCATAAATATGGCATTCGTAATGAATTTGGCATTTTTTCCCCTGATGACTGGAGGTGGTGGTGCTGAGGCGGCGGTGATTTTTTTTTTTGAGTTTTTAATTTTTTTTTAAGAAAAAATTAAATTTTTTTTGAAAAATAAAATAAAATAAAGTATTATTATATAAATATTTTTATTAATTTTTTAGTATTTTTTACGAATTACTATTATTTTTTATTATTTTAGTATGAATTAAAACATTTCAATAGTTATAAGGGTATATTTATCTAAGACAAACATAATTAGTCCTATGAAAACATAGTTTATTTTTTGGTCCTATTTGTGCAAAGTGCGTGACTTTTAGTCCTATTTTGATAATTAACTCAACAAATATAAGTTTGGGGAAGAGAAATTGTGAAACTTGACATCTAATTAGTAGGAAAGACAAATTTGAATAAAAGTAAATTAAATAGAGTAATTTATTTCCTAAAAAGGAATGAGAACTTTTAAATAGGACATCCAAATAAGGAAATAGGAAACCTTTCAACACGGGATTGAGGGTTTACACCATACGGCCGGCTGTACCGTGCGCACGGTACAACCGCGCTTTTTTAGCCTTCCGCGATTATTTTGTTAATCGAAGGATGAACAGTCACCAGGTCATGACTTTTGCTTTCCTCGTCCTCGACCTACTATTGATTTCTTCGTCTGTGCTCCTCTTCAATTCAAAAGAACCATCGTCTTTCTTAGAACTCTCTTCCTCTGTCTAATTACTCCGCCTAACCTTCCAGCCCTAAATTCAGATGATTGCCTAACCCTCTAGCCCTAAATCGAGATGAATCGAGTACAGATTCATTCGGTGAGAAGGCCTGGTGTGGATTAGTGGGAAGGACATAGTGGTGTGGATCCCTTCATCTTTCTTCACCTAAATTCATGGAATAAGCATTAAGTATCCCTACTTGTTTAATTTGATTGGCCTGAGGTTTGTTGATAACGTTCATTCGGCCGGTGTGCCACCCCACTAATATAATTTTACAAAAGAAATTAAATGGGCATATACAATTGAATAATTGAGCACACTACATATTTTAAATGAGCTTTTTGAATTTTTCGATGCTCATTTGGTAACTTATGTGTGCTCATTTGAAATTGGTGTAATACTCATTTTAAAATGGAATATTCATGTATCTTTCAAACATATTATATTACATTAGATTCACATTACAAATGAGTTTTATGTTAAACTCAAATGAGTAAAACGCCCAAAACGAATGCGCACACACAAATGAGCTTTTAATTTTTTTGATACTTATTTTGAAAGTTATGTGTACTCATTTGATATTGCTTTATGCTCATTTTAAAAGGTTGCACATTTCAAACACATCATACTATAATGAAATTAATTGAAATTGATTATAGACATAACTTCACTTTTTAATAAACAAAAAAATAATAAACAGAAGATGATATATATGGTATGAAGCAGAGATCGTTGATGCTCACCGTTAGCTCCTAATACTCAAAAGAACATGCTTGATGCTAATCAAAATTGCATATATGCTCATTTAAGAGAATCCACGATTTTCACAAAAATTACAAATTTGCCACCGACTATACAGTGATCACTGTACAGCCAGCTGGAGATGGAGAGAGTATGGGCCTATTTACTAACAGAGATACTTTCCTGTTTTCTACTTCTGTTTTTCATTCTCCAATTTTCTGTTTTTATTTTTCAGTTTTTCTATCTCTAGTTTTTTGTTTCTATTTTCTAGTTTTCCATTTTCAAATCTGAAAACATGTTCATCAATTTTTTCACCCAGTTCTGTGATCATCCAGAAGACTGACTCGTTTACTTCACGGGTTACTAAATGGTGCTTATTATGACTCGTGTTAATAAGCGATGCATAAAATAAGCAATTTTATAAGACCATGTTTACTTCAAAAGGTTTAAAACACCGTTTAACATTAAAATGTCCAAAATAACCCTATACATATATAAACACACACACACACTAATGAACACAAATATATAATATAATATGTGGGGTCGATCACCTCGTACGTGTACCCATACTCCTAACCCCTACAGTGCCCCTATACCCCGTACCCCCACCTTACACCCTACACCCAATTCCACCCCATTTACCCTTACCCCTACCCTTACCACGATCTTACACTCTACTCATACTCCCCTAAAACCCTTCATACTCACCCATACCTACTCGTAGGGGTCAGGGTAGGGAAGGAAGGTATGGGTGGGGTGGAGGTGGGTGGGGTGGTTAGGTCTAAGGGTACGGAGTTGGGTGGGGGTAGTGAGTAGGGTTGGGGTTGGGGTAAGGTAGGGGTAGAGTAGGGAGTTGGGATAGGATGGCGGTAGGGTGGGGTCGGGATCAGGGTGGGGGCGAGGTAGGGGAAGGGGTAGGGTGGTGGGTAGGATGGCAGTAGGGTGGGGGTAGGATGGCGGTAGGGTGGGGCCGAGGTAGGGGTCATGTGGAAAGGGGTAAGGTAGGGGTAAGGGGTAATATACGAGGTGGTGGTATGGTAGGGTGTGTCAGGGTGGGGTTGAGGTGGTAAGGGGTGGCGGTAAGGTAGGGTGGATCGGGGTGGGACCGAGGTAGGGGCATGTGGTAGGGGGTGGGGGTGGGGTCATTGTAGGGAAAAGGGATATGCAGGGTGGGGGTTTTGTGGCTCTAATTCACTCTTACTTTTTTCTCATTTTATTAATTCACCATCAATCGCATCTCCACTTTTCTTAAAAACTGTATCACTCCCTTTTGTCCCAATCTTAGGGTGACGGAGCCACGGAGGTATTACTAATTAATTATCAACCACATAATAAAAGTATAACTAGATGATGAAGTATTGATCGAAACAGTGAAAAATATATTACTAAAATAAAATAATGGGTACAACAACAACAACATCCAACCCTTAATCCCAAAAGAATTTGGGGTCGGTTAACAATGATATCGATGTCAAACAGAGAAGACAGACAAGAAATGGATGAAAAAAAAGTAAGATAAAATGAATAAAATAAAAATAAATAAATATAAGATAACAATAATACAAGAATATAAGAAAGACAAAAGATAAAAAAAAATAAAAAACTGGAATTTAATAATAACATAAGAATATACAAAGACGAAGAAGATAAACGATAAAAGAAAAAAGAGAGGAAAGGTAGAAAAGACATCAATCGTCCACACGGGTGTACGCCCTCCACTTTGCTCTCTCCAAAGTCATACTCTCATCCAACCCCAAAAGACGCATATCAGATTTGATTCCTCTAATCCAAGTCTCATCCAACCACTTTGCTCTTCTCTGCCTGTTCTCCCCACCCCCCAAGTCGTCTAACACGTGCATCACTCGGTCTTCTACGCACATGCCCAAACCACTGCAAACGAGACTCCTGCATCTTATCTTCTATAGGTGCCACTCCCACCTTTTGTCTGATTATGTCATTCGTCAAACGGTCTTTTTTGGTATGTCCACACATCCAACGCAACATACACATCTCTGTCACACTCACCTTTTGAATGTGACATTGCTTCACCGCCTAACATTCTACGCCATACATTAAATAAAGCCTAATTGTTGTTCGATAAAATTTATCTTTCAGTCTAGTCGGCATACCTCGATCGCATAGAAATCCTGAAGCACTCTTCCATTTCATCCACCCAGCTCTGATTCTATGACATACATCTCCATCTAATTCACCATCCTTCTGGATTATGGAACTCAAGTAACAGAACATATCACACACTGATATCTCCTTACCATCAAGAGTAATCCAATTGTTGCTACTACTTCTACCTCCACCAAACTTGCACTTCATAAACCCTTGGTCTCCAATGTTTGTCATCATACTTCCAATTTTGCTTTAACACCGGATTGTGTCTCATCAATCAATACAATATTGTCGGTAAACATCATGCACCACGGTATATCTTCATGGATTGACTTCATAAGTTCATCCATGACTATGGAAAATAAGAAAGGACTCAGAGCAGATCCTTGGTACACTCCGATAGTAATAGGGGACTCGGCGGTCCTCCCTACACTAGTGCAGACACTTGTAGTACAAGCATCATACATATCCATGATGATACTGATATACTTACGTGATATGCCTTTTTTAGTTAAGGCCCACCACAAGACTTCTCGAGGTACCCTATCAAATGCAAATCCTTTTTAGTGTCTCTATACTTCTCCATAACTTTTCTAAGAAGGTGAATGGCCTCAGCTGTTGAGCGTCCAGGCATAAAACCACATTGATTCTCCGAAATTTTCACACTTTTACGAAGTCTTTGCTCAACCATTCGCTCCCAAATTTGCATGGTGTGACTCAAAAGCTTAATCCCTCGATGGTTGACACATTCTTGTACATAACCCTTAAAATAAGGCAATGAGAGTACTCTTCCGCCAACTCAATGACATTTTGTTGTTTCTCCAATTCATGTTGAAGAAATGTGTTAGCCACTCGATGCCTTTCTCTCACAAACTTCTCCAAGCCTCGATCAGTTTACCATCTAGGCCCACTGCTATCTTCCGCCCCATTTTTCTCATAGCCTCTTTAACTTCTGTTGTTTGAATCCTTCTCACGAAGTCTCGATTTACCATACACTCTAGTATAGTAAGATCATCAATACCTTGCACTTTATTCCCATTGGACAAGTTATCAAAGTATGACCTCCACCTCTCTTTAATTTCTTTGTCCTCCATTAGTACCCTTTGATCGACATCCTTCACACACTTAACTTTTCCGATATCTTGAGTCCTACGATCACGAAGGCGAGTAAGTATGTATATATCTTTTTCTCCTTCTTTAGAGTCCAACTTTACATATAATTCCTTGTTCAATTTTCCTCTGGCTTCCTTCACAGCTTTCTTTGCTCTTCTACGAGTCTTCTTGTACTCCTCTATGTTCTCGTCGCTCCAACTTTTGTCCAATTTCTTATAGCATTCGTTTTTGGTCCTTATTGCTTGTTTCACCTCATCATTCCACTAAGACATGTCTTTTTTTGGTAGCAGACATCCTTTAGATTCTCCGAGTATCTCCTTCGCCACTTTGTTAATGGTGGACTTCATTGATAACCACACATCATCCACATGTTATCAATAAACCATACATCTTCCTCCAACATTTTCTGTGCAAAACTTTGTTGGAGATTCCCCTTGAGCCTCCACCATTTTATCTATGGCTCCCCTTGTACCTTAACTCGTCTCCTCTTTTTACCTTGAAAATCAAGCACAAGCATCCTATGCTGAGTGACAGCACTCTCACCTGGGATAACCTTACAATCAGTGTAGCTAGTTCTCCAAGTCGTTCGTACTAAAAAGTAGTCAGTTAGGGTACTATTAGCTCCACTTCTATAGGTGACAAGGTGAGAGTCTCTTTTTTTTGAACTAGGTGTTCATCACAGACAACTCATATGTCGAGACGAAATCCAAAATGTTCTTCCCCGCTTCATTTCTAGTGCCAAAGGCATGTCCGTCATGGATACTCTCAAAACCATCCCGACTTAGGCCCACATGCCCGTTGAGGTCGCCTCCTATTACCGATTTCTGAAAAATAAAATAATGGGTAGAAATATAAATTTTAATGTGCGACAACAAAATTAATATTTCAAAGTGACTATATGGTATCATGTTAGGGGGTGTTTGAATCTGTTTCTTAAAACTATTTCTGCTCCTTCAAAAGCAGAAGCAGATAATGGAGTGTTCGGGTGAAAATGCAAAAGTACTTCTAAATGCTCCAAATTTTTCATAAAAGCAGTTTTTTAGAAATTGGGGGAGATCGGTTTCTGAAAAATTGATTCTGATTATGTTTCTGCTTTTCAAAAAGAAGCAGAAACTCAATTAGTTCCAAACACCTCCTTAATGTTCAATTCAGGAAAAAATCTATTAATATTATATATCGATATTATTATGAGATAGTAATAAGTGAATATAGGACATAATAAAATCTCTTGTTGTTACTATATACTACTCCGTATTATTATCATATGATTATTGCCTTTATTGGTGGTTTAATTTAGGTATCCCAACAAGCAAGCTGCATTCAGAACTCTTTTACTACCTATGCAAAGCTCACTCTCCGCTCAAACTTGATATGGGTTTCGTGAACGACTGCTATGAGGGCAGTCACCTGCTGGCACATATGTATCATCGGGTCATAAACAACCGGGGTGGACCAGTGACGCGGTTAATGTCTGCAGGGGGCAAAAGCACAGAGGACGGAATAGAGGCATTAAAAGATTTAAGTGAATTACTTGGAGTAGGAGCATCCAAATGGATTAATCCAATGCTATTAGCTTTGGAGGCATTACAAGTTTTGGAGATTAGCAGCAAGTTAGCTGATGAGATTACTAAGATTAAACTATCAAAACCACCAAAGAAGAGTCATCAAATTCCTTCAGCATCGGATCTGTCCAAGAAACACAATGTGGGTTTCAGGCTGCTGGAATGTGAAGGGATTAGGGATATCAAATTTGACCTCCAGGACGACATAAGAACGGTTTCTCTGCCTCAGATCACTTTAAAATGCGATTCAGAGGTGGTTTTAAGAAACCTGCTGGCATATGAATCTGCCATTGCAATCCCAGAGTCAGCCTTTGAGCTTGCTGGATATATTCACCTGATGAGCAACATACTGCAGACACCTGATGACGTGGCGTTGCTACGGGGGAAGGATATCATCAAGGGAGACCTAACAGACGGAGAAGTTCTTGAAATCTTCAACGGGGTCGGAAAAACTGTGGGGAACTCGAAGCCGAAGAAGGAGTGTGCAAGCAGGGAAGTGGTGAAACAAGTGAAGCAAATGGTGGAGGAATGGGAGAAGAGGAAGAGGTATGTGTGGAAAAGGGTGTGGAAGCTTGTTGAGAAGAAGGTTGACAATGGTGTGGAGTTGATGAGGAAGCCCGTGGGAACTGGTATGAAGTGTCTATTGAGATATTTGGTATTTTTAATATTCTTATTATATTCTTATTATATATTATCACACATGTAATAAGTTGGCTTGTACTGCATGCCTACTTGCATGACCCATGCAAGTTGTATTCTCTCTCTTGTAATCATCTACCATGCATGTATGCTATAAATATGGCATATGCATTGTTCAATAAAGATACGAAGGAGAAGTATCTCTCCATATATTAAACTCTTCTTCATACATCAATTAAACTCTTCTCCAAATTTATTCCTAATTTTATCATGGTATCAGAGCCGAAATCCTGGCTATGATTTCTTCTTTCTCTTCACAAGTGAATATGGCATATAAATTGCCACATGCTCGTCCTTGGATAATTGATTCCGGAGCTACCGAACATATCACTTGCAGTGATGTTAATTTTTTTAATATCATCAATCTCACACCTGAGCCGTCGTCAGTCAGAATCCCTAATGGTGAATCTATTCCGGTCCATGCTATTGGTAGTTTATACTTACCAAATGGGCTTTACCTTAAGCGCGTCTTATACATTCCGAAATTCCAGTGCAACCTTCTTTCGGTTAGTCGCCTAACAAGCGATCTAAATTGTACACTAACATTTTTCACAGATTTCTGTGTTTTACAAGATTTATCCACAAGAAAATTGATTGGCGTGGGTAAATTCCATGACGGTCTCTATTTTCTGGAATCCCCAAGGAAAGAAGGGGTAGCAATGTCAATCTGTATTACCCCCGACTTGTGGCATCAACGTTTGGGTCATGCATCCGATGGAAAGTTACATCACATTAGTTCCCTCAAGGGTTTCCGGCGAGACAATAATTTATGTGATCCTTGCGTTCGAGCTAAGCAGACCAGGCTACCATTTCCTACAAGTGCAATTAAGACAACTCGGTGCTTTGAATTGATACATTGTGATATTTGGGGAGCTTATAGATGCGATTCAATCTCCGGAGCACGGTACTTTCTGTCTATTGTTGATGATTTTACTAGAGGTGTTTGGGTTTATTTAATGAAAAATAAATCCGAAGTCCCACAGCTTTTAATCCAATTTTGCAACATGGTTGATACTCAATTTGAGCAAAAGGTCAAACGAATAAGAGCCGATAATGGTGTGGAATTCCAGACAAACATTTTAGTTGATTTTTATGGACGCAGTGGGATATTATTAGAAACGTCCTGCACTGACACACCGCAACAGAATGGGGTTGTCGAACGTAAACATAGACACATATTGGAAGTTGCAAGGGCGCTTCGTTTCCAATCAGGATTGCCTATTAATTTTTGGGGAGAATGTGTTTTAACTGCTGTTTATATTATTAATAGACTCCCCTCACCAGTTATTCTTAACAAAAGTCCTTTTGAAATGTTGTTTGGAAAAGTGCCTAGTTATGATCATCTACGGGTGTTCGGTTGTTTGGCGTATGGACATGATAACAAACGAAAGGATAAATTTAGTGAAAGGGGGAGTCCTGGCATTTTTATTGGCTACCCTAATGGTCAAAAGGCTTATCGGATTTTTGATTTGCAAAAACAGACAGTTTACAGCTCTCGAGATGTGGTGTTTTATGAAGATAAATTCCCTTTTAAAATTACCTTCAATGAGGAGCTTGAGTTCTCATCACTTATTCAAAAGGTTTACAACCACACAATAAATCATGGATGTCCTCCACTACAGCATGTCAATTCAAGAGAGAATTATTTTCGTCACTCAATAATGACCCATGGAGAACAAGATGGGCAAATTAATCATGACCCCACTTTAGTGCAAAGAAATCAGCCACAGAATGAGGTTCACGAACCTGGAAGGCAGCAACATATTCAACAATATACCAGCGGACCCACACTGGTAGAATCGAGTGACCTCCGTAAGCAAACACCTCATGGAATTTCTGGACATATGCGGACTCCTGCGCGTGACTCACCAGAAAGACTTCAGCTGGACGACGTGCCCACATCAGCTGGACCGACCAACCTAGCACCGCCTGAGGAGCGGCTACCCCACAATGAACAGCTGCAGCGACCCTTCGTTGTGGCTCCGGATGTACGTGAATCAGACCAATATGGTCCCAGCTCTAAAACAATTAATGAGCTACAGGCTGAAAGTGCCATTCCACTCACCACAGAACATCAATCAATTGACGCACCTGGACCCAGTTTACCCGCCGTTCCCAGCGTCCCATCTTCATGCTTTACGCCTTTGTTTCAATCAAAGAGGAGTGATCGGAATCGAAGACTACCGAAACATCTTGATAATTATGAAATCAATTTGCCTCCATCACTCGATCATTCACAGTCCAGTGCCCATTCGGTATATCCTCTTTGTGATTTCATTTGTTATGAAAAATTCTCACCCACACATAAAGCTTTTTTGGCAGCCATCACGTCACGTGATGAGCCAAAACATTTTTCACAAGCTGTACAGGATCCTATTTGGCGAGAAGCAATGAGAAAAGAAATCAATGCATTAGAAGAAAATCAGATCTGGAATTTAGTTCAATTACCCCCGGGAAAAAGAGTTGTTGACTCTAAATGGGTTTATAAAATTAAATATAAACCTGATGGAGATGTGGAGCGTTACAAAGCTAGGTTGGTAGCGAAAGGCTTCACACAAATTGAGGGAGTTGACTTTCATGAGACGTTCGCTCCAGTTGCCAAATTAGTTACCGTTCGTTGTATTCTGGCAGTTGCAGCCAAACGCAAATGGGTAGTACATCAACTGGACGTCAATAACGCCTTTCTTCATGGGGATCTTTCTGAAGATGTTTACATGCGTATTCCACAAGGGTTCGCAAAAGTTGGTGACACCCGCGTTTGCAAGTTACAAAAATCTCTTTATGGGTTACGGCAAGCATCCCGTAATTGGTATCATAAATTCACTCAAGCTCTCACCAAAATTGGTTTCCGTCAATCCCAAGCAGATTATTCACTTTTCACCTTCCGACAGGGCCATGTTACGACTTTTGCCCTCATTTACGTAGATGATGTGATCCTAGCTGGAAATGACATTACTCATATTAACATGGTAAAGGGGTATTTGGATACCGAATTCAGTATCAAAGACTTGGGAAAACTTAAATACTTTCTCGGTATTGAAGTTGCTCGCTCCCCTGAAGGTTTTGTCTTGAGTCAACGAAAGTACACTCTTGACATTTTGGAAGAGTGTGGTCTTTTGGCAGGTCGCCCTAGTCAAACCCCTATGGAACAGAATTTAAAGCTCCGACCGGACGATGATAGCCCCCTAGTGGATGCCTCTTCCTACCGACGACTTATTGGGCGGCTACTATATCTGACTGTCACTCGTCCAGACATTGTTTATTCTGTAAGTCAACTCAGTCAATTCCTTGGCACCCCCAGACAAACGCATCTTGACGCTGCCATACGGGTACTACGGTATTTAAAACAAACACCAGGACAGGGTATATTCTTGTCTTCTGAAGAGGACTTCACCCTGCAAGGCTATTGTGATGCTGATTGGGCAGGATGCTCTTTCACTCGTCGATCCAGTACTGGTTATTTCATCACCCTTGGTAATTCACCCATATCTTGGCGAACGAAGAAACAGTCTGTTGTCTCTCGCTCTTCTGCTGAAGCAGAATACCGAGCTATGGCCGTCACAGTTAGTGAAATTTTGTGGTTACGATGGTTACTAAAAGATCTCACAGTTCCTCAAGTGAGCCCTACATCGCTCTATTGTGATAATCAAGCCGCCCGACATATTGCGCTTAACCCGGTTTTTCATGAACGTACCAAACACGTTGAAATAGATTGTTACTTCGTCCGAGAGAGGGTTGCTAGTAATGAAATTAGACCATTGTCTATCTGCACGAGTAATCAGGTGGCCGATATTTTTACTAAAGCACTTGGGACAGATCATTTTCGCTATCTTCGAAGCAAGTTGGGTGTTCGTAATCTTCACACTCCACCTTGAGGGGGAGTATTGAGATATTTGGTATTTTTAATATTCTTATTATATTCTTATTATATATTATCACACATGTAATAAGTTGGCTTGTACTGCATGCCTACTTGCATGACCCATGCAAGTTGTATTCTCTCTCTTGTAATCATCTGCCATGCATGTATGCTATAAATATGGCATATGCATTGTTCAATAAAGATACGAAGGAGAAGTATCTCTCCATATATTAAACTCTTCTTCATACATCAATTAAACTCTTCTCCAAATTTATTCCTAATTTTATCAGTGTCTGCTGTATCTGATCATGATTATGCTACTTGTGCTGGAGATGATGGAAGCATATCGAAACATTTATGAACCCAACAAAGGCCGGGGTTCTTAAGCGTAACAAGATATTATGGCATTTTATGTGGTTATTAGTGCATTATAAAGAGTAATAATTTTTCTGTGTTGGTAATAAATTGATTTAGGCAAAACTCACATCAATAAAAACACATATTAGGCTATTAATGTCCTATCTATATTAATCTCATGTATATGCATAATTCGAAAATAATCTCAATTTAAAGGGTACTCTTTTCAAAACGGCTCCAGGTGTCCTAAAACTTGTTTGACCCGTAAACCCTGTCATTCTATTTTACTATCTTCGCCCCAATAAAATCTTTCAAATACTATTTGCATAGAATTTAAGAAAGTGAAATGTTGAACCACATTTTATTTGCCAAAAAGAGAATAAACATTATTTAGGGATGCACGTAAAAGATAAGTTGAAAGATTAAAAAGGAAAGTTGGAGTAACATTTTCCCACATGCCGGAAAACCTCCCTCTCCATCACTCTATGTTATCTCAAAACCATTGCTTGGATTAATTTTTTAATTGGAAAGAAAAAGAAAACAGAGAAAATCATGAACAAGCTAAGGAGCCACGGTTTTCCACTTTTCCCTCTGACGGTCCAAATTAGGATGTTTTTAAATGAATTATTTTCAGTCCTAGACCAGACCAGATCCGATCAAAGCAGACCAGACCAAATCAGATTAGACCAAACCAGACCAGGTCAGACCTGGACAGTTATAAAATACACATAGACCAAACATTTATCGAATCATACCAGACCAGTTCAAATCAGATCAGATCGAATCAAACCAGACCAGACCGGATCAGACCAGACCAGATCACTAAATTCTAGTTTAAGTAAAACCATCCTTAGAGGATGAGAGGCTTCCATTAAGAATTCCTAAATTCGAAAGAAGAAAGGAGAAAGTAAGATGTA